GCCCCCTCAGAAGATCTGGGCTAGCTCCGCAAGAGCCACACATTCGAGCAACTTCTCCCACTACTCATGGTAGATATTTGACGGTTGTGTGTTATACAATTATCCATCATCTCCTACATACTCCCCTATAAACTAATATAAGACCATTTAAATCACTACTTTAATGATCTAAACGATGTTATATTAGTTTACAGATGGTGTATATATGAGATTGTTGGACTTCCATACAAGAAAATGACTTCAATATTCGCCCAAAACCTAAAACCTACCCTGACTCATAGTAAGTTGGACATGGTCGCTGGATGGCGGCCACTTGTCCGGGTCACCTTGTTGGTTCATTGACGAAAGCATATTCCCGTGCACGGAGCATAAACAAAGCTGCGGCTGGTATGTTGGTTGCTGTGACAAATGGATCAGCATGACATGGCGTGAATCGCGAAGATAAAAAGACCATGGAAACAAGCTGCAGCTGGTTGTTGCGGGCCGTGGCGAACGCCCGTGACATGGCGTGAACCTCGAAGTGAAGAGCATTGTTTGTAACTGGACAAATCCTGTGGGTAGAGTTATCCCCTTGTCTTTTTCTGGAACAATCCCCTTATCTTATCTTCAATGTCAACTTGCATCCTTTCGTCACCGTGGCTACACCACTTTAGATATTGCGTACAAGCAGTATATTAGTAACGCGTCACCCAGCGTATCCAGAAAGCAATGTCCCCAACTGCCGCTAAAGATAAAAAGGGAAGAGAAGAGGCTCACCGCTCACCAGGCACTGCTAGTCTACGTCGACTATTCGTACTAATTCATCTCACTCTCGTCAGTTTTGGTCATAATTTCATATGTGCCCCGGTTTCATTAGTGAAACCCATTGCAAAAAATCACTTTGGAACCCGGGTGCATTGGAGCTCTATTTTTTGAACCGTGCCAAAATGCTATTTTGAAGTTTTAAAAAATTCTGAAAACAAATCAACATGTTTATATGAATGTATATTACACATGTGTAAATTTTGATGCTGAAATAAGTAACCATGTGAGTTACACAAAAATGACAAAATCATGATTTTGGAAAGATAAGCAGTGCATGCATTATTCACTATTTGGAAATCACCATTTTGTCATTTTTGTATAGGTCACATATTTACTTATTTCACCACCAAACTTTACACATTTGTAATATACATCCATATGATCACGTAGAATTTTTTTCAGAATTTTTTGAAAGCTAACAACAGCCTAACACAGAGCGCAAAGTACCCCACTTATCAAAAACCCAAAAGTCACACACAGCAACCATAAGACATACTCCCTCTGTTCCAAAATAGATAAATCAACTTTGTACTAAAGTTAGTACAAAGTTGGGTCATCTATTTTGGAATGGATGGAGTATCCAGCATGATCATCTAAATTTTTTCACTCACTCCATGAAGTTCACCACAGTTGGATCATTTGGCATCTTCCCTTGGGAAACAAGCATTGTTGCTAAGTTCCCACAGGACCCAAATATAACCTCAGCTACTCCTATACCAAGATTTCATTGACTTCAGGATCATGAACAATTGCAGACATCGATCCATTAGACTGCAGAGTTGACCGAACAGATGAAATGAAGAAAGGCATTTTTAATTTATTTTGTAAGGTATCACGGTACATGTTTGTGCCTAAAGAGTACTAGGAACTAAATAAATGCCAGCGATCCAGTGAAACATGGCACTGATCATCAAACCACCTCAAGTTGGCCTTTGATCTCGAGCATGCAACAAAAATGGCAGGCCATGTGGCCGTGAGCTAGTCAAGTACTTTCTCCGTTCGAAACCGTGAGGCGCTTACATATCGCAAGACTTAGTTTTGACCCAAAAAATTAGATATTGAGTTGACACACAAGTGATATTAGCTATTCCAACAACATCCTTTCTGTATCACTTGCTGGTCAAACCTAAATTTTGACATGCATGAACGGCCTTACATTTTGCGATGAATTAAGTACTTCCAAATTCCAAAAAAATGGAGAATACTTTCAAACATTCTATAAAAGACAGGTAGTAGTGTATTCTGTATTCTAGCAACAATGAAACATTCTAGAAAAGATTGGCTAGTGTAATACAGTTAAGAATCCCTGCACAAATTCAGCTAAAACCAATATGAACATAAGAGAAAATTGACAAGATTCAGTTGTGCATTCGTCTTCTTATTTCAGATTCCAGTTTCAGTAGATTTTGATAGTTTTTATTTTTCCCATTGCATTGAGTTAACCTTTGACATTATGTACCAATTTTCTTTCGAAATTTTCATGACCATTAGATAAACTTACCAGAGTTGATACTTAGAAAAAACAAAAAGGGCATTTGTACCAGTGGCACTCCCTCTTGACTGTTGACTTAACTCCACACTGTGTGCATTCTGCTATATATATCCAAAATAAAGAGGTGACTACTTTTGGAGAGAGAAAATAGTTGGCAATTTTCGGAAAAAAGAAGCAGTCGATCACTTAACTAGTAGCTCATCACTATTTTAGACACCCGCTGCACCTCAGATCCTTGTTAACCTGTTCAAAAATAAGAGAGCATCAAGCCGTAGCATAGACCATAGTTATACAATTCGCGAGGCCTGTTCGTTCAGAGAGTTGTGGGAAATGGCAACACTATAGAGTGCAGACGCCATGTATCAAACACATACATTGCTCATCCAACAGCACCAAAACACTATATCCGTGCACTATCATTCAAGTTTTAACAGTTCAAAAATATACATGATTCAGGTTTTATGTTCATAAATCTGTTCTAGTATATCCACTTCATATCACAGACAACCCTAACAGACCAAGAAGCAACACCATGACATGCAAGAATATAGATCTGGGGGTGCAAGTATTGAGCCGTTTGGCTTGCATTCTCCAGGAATAGCAGTGCATACAAGAAACTCAGCATCAGACGTTACCTGAGCAACTACTTCTCTTCGGATCAATCCCCTCCGGCATCCTTCACGTTCACAGTGAACACGTATTCCTGATCAATGCCCAGATAGGAATCTGACATCAAGAAAACCATGAAATCCTTCTTCCCTGCTTCTGCGGGAGCGATGAACTCAAGCTTCAGGCGAGCCCTCTGCAGCACTGCAACCCACTTGATTGCCAGCAACTGGTCGCTGGAGCTATCACCAATCACGAGCCACCAGCCTTCCTGCCTGGGCTTAGGATACCTCGGGGCATTAACTGGCCCAACCTCAGAAGGCAAGTTCGTCATGTCACGCTCTAGAGTAACCTGCAAAGTTACATTGCCACTGGCTCTAATATCATCACCTTCAAGGACTTCATATGCCATTTCGATATCCGGGAACCGTTTGATGAATCCGATGATGTCCTTAAGCTGAGAGTTTGGTAACTGCAGCAGATTCTGCATCTTGTCTGCGCTCATCTCAGCAAGATCAAAGATGTTATCAATGCCATTTTCCTGGCATCTCCCAGTTAATTCCTTGGTGAAGTGGGGGAGTTGAAGCAGCACAGAATCACGATCCCACATGCCTTGTGTCACCATCTGACTAAGCTCCATTGCCTTAAGAGCCAGGCTGAGTCATCCATTGCTGGAGATAACATCAACCAATGACTTGATCAATCTAGGTGCAGGAAGGAGTATCTCCCGTTGGTCGGCTGCCAGGTTCCCTACAACCGTTTGCCTCGAGAAATGTGCTTGCAGCAGCGCGTTCGCCTTGATGTGTACATCATCATTCTTAGAATTCTCAGCAGAAAATCTCTGGTGACGAACTAGCGTCTCAATGGATTCTTCCTCACCTCGGCAACTTGGAAGCTCTGCATATTCTGATGCAGAAGCTAGAATCTCCAGGAGACCTTTGATCTTAGTCTTCTGGGTTATCATTGAACTGAACCGTTCGATAGTCTTGTAGCTGATGTAGTAGTACGAGGCTATGAGACCAAGGTTGAGGGGCTTCAGAAACGTATCCTCTTCTATAACCACACACTTGCTTGACTCAAGGTCGTCCAATACTGTCTCCACTAGCTCAGAAAGATGATCAGACACATGCCTGTGACCTATTCCCTGCAGATTGTACTAGTTAGGGTTCTTGGTCAGCCTCCGGTACATGAAAGTCCAAGTAAGATAATCCACAGCAGCTTGCTTGTTTTCTACAACACCACAAACAACTTCAGCATTCATATGATCATGCAAATTATGGTGAAGATGGCTCTCAACAGGGAAGGCCTCTGAAAGGAACTTCCTGTGGTATTCCTTGCGAGGTGCATGGCACAATATAACACATTTCCCTGAGTTATCTTGAAGAGGCCTGCTGGCATGACCCATCATTTGTAGCAGATCACTGACTGGATAGTCAGTGACACTGCCCCACCCATCAGAATACTGTGTTCCCATCACAACAACCAAATGGGAAGGCAGTGATCTTCCCCAGCACATTGTGCTGCTCACGACACACACTTGGATCTTCCCACAAAGGAACAGCTGAGTCACAACTTCCTGATCAAGATCACTTAGAGCCTCATGCAAGTAGCCTACACCACATTTCAGCGTATTTACAAGCGTTTCTTCATTGACACACCTCGTGTACGTATCCATCTCATCTTCTGACCCAAGAAGGAAAGGTGTTCCACAACCTTCAGCATTTGAGTATGTGCACAAGTTCAACGCAGTAAACCTTGCATGCTTCGTTGCTGGTACAAATACCAGGGCAGGCTTACCATGCTTTGCATACTGTCTGATAGCATTGTACGTAGGCTTTGCCATTGCTTGCATCCTTGCCTCAAAGTTTGCTATGTCCATACCCTGAATGTGTATTTCTGAAGGTACCGGCCGCACTGCTGGAGGGAAATTGAAAAGGCCATGAGAGGTGGCACCAATCCACTCTCCGAGATCTTTAGCATTCGCAAGTGATGCTGAAAGCGCTACGATCCGGATGTTGCTGCAGGTATGATTTGCAATACGCCTCATCCTTGAAACAATGATATCCAAAACATGTCCCTTCTCAGATCCAATTAGGTGAAGCTCATCGACAATGAATAAGCTGACCTGTTGGATGTGTTTCCTCTGTTTCCACCGGCGTGAGAGTGAATCCCACTTCTCAGGAGTGCTAATAATAATCTCCCCTTTATCAAGAAGCTTCAAATCACGTGCAGTTTCACCAGTTAGCTCAACTACACAGGCGAATTCTCCAAATTTCATCTCCCAGTCCCTGTATCTTTCTTTCGCCAGAGCTTCAATAGGCGCTATATACACAATTCGCATGTTGTTTTCACCAGATACTGCCTTTTGATGGTTCCTTAGTATCGCAAACTCCGCACATATGGTCTTCCCGCTGCCTGTTGGCGCAGCAACCAAAACACTATCATCACTGTTATACAAGACACTGAACACTTGAGTCTGAATGGGGTTGAAATGTTTCCAGGCACTATAAAGGCCTTCATATCGTGCATTCCTCAGTGCAGTAACAGGTAGTGGTTGCAGATCAAGCAATTCGGTTGGTGGAGCATGTTTGTCTGGAAGAACCAAGTGCCTAAATGAGACTGGAAGAATTGTCCGAGATCCAAGCCACTTGTCAGATACGACATGTATAAAGTACAGAGGGGGCAGTGGCTCATATATTGGCACTGTGAAATTAAGTGTATGATCTTCATTCAGCCATTGTTTCTTAAGCATGAAGTATTCATGGTGAAGAATGCACTCGCTGTCATTGTCCTCGACTAGAATCCAAAAAGGTTCAACATATCCATGTATCTTATCATCCCACTGGAAATCAGCTGTTAGAGTCAGCTCAAAACCCAAAACTGTACGAGTAATAGGTTGAACATGGGCTGAAAGGTTCAACTTTGGTAACTGGTGGATGCACTGGTGTAAACGCCTCCCCATCTTGGGATAACGGATCAGCTCGCCGATTTCCTGTGATGATAGGTCAAAATACCTCTCCCAAGCCAATTCCTTTTTCTCCAGTTTCATCAGGATTTCATTTGGAATGCCAGGAAACTGGCGCAAAGGATTTTGGACACTCCACATCTGCTTATCAATCATCGTGCAAAGATTCAGAGCCTTCTCTGCTAGTTGAGACCATCCTCTCTTCAAAACTATCTCAAATATTGCTCGTGAGAGGCGACCAGCACTCTGCATCATGGAGAATAAAAAAAATATGTAAGAACAATAACTAAATAAGCAAGCAATTCAAATCAGGAGCTGCATTCAGAAGAGGGAACATGTTACCTGTTTGATATAGACCATATCAGAGCCAAGGGAGAGACCCTCTAGCTTAAGCCCAGAAATATATGCTTGCAGCAGAACATTGATCTTTGTGCTGGGCTCCTCCAAGCTCTCTTTCACAGGAATTGGCACACGATCCAAAAGCTTTTCCAGCTCCATCTTCTCATCTTTTCTGACACTAACATACTTAAATTCTTCACTAAGAGAGAACAATTGGCACAGCTCAATATAACCCATGGTAGGCTTCAGGTACTCGTTGTAAGTTGAAATAGTCCTGTGACTAATATAGTAATAACTAGAAATCCTCCCCAGGTCAGTAGCCTGAAAGTATCCAGTTCTCTTATCATACTTTATCAAATTGTTCCTATCCAACAGATTTGCAGCTGAGTGTACCTGCAGCAGCACAGAAGTACAGGAATCAGCAGTGGAACACGAGAACAATATTTTTTTTCTTGAGAAAACGCAAAGAGATTCTTGTGCTTCTTTGTATTGAGAAGATAGAGTTTATGTTACAATCCTCCTAGGAGGTACAATGAACAATATTAAAGCACAAGCATGCATCATCTTACGAATATATGGATGTAACACTTCCCTACAGCTTTGCACTAGTATCAAGATTGCTAGTTGACTACTTCAATTAACCGAGTTTCTTTGCTACTCTACGAACACTTCTAGTGACAAGACTCTGCTCCAAAGAGACAGCAGAACAAAATATGAACCACGCAAGCAGAGGCGCCTTTTGCTGTTCCCAGGGGCAGCATCCAATTATAAGTCATACCTTTTACTATGATGCTACTGTATAATTTGATGTAGCCATTTCACTGCATGGGAAATAACTTCATGCCAATTTAGTATCTGTAATGGCCCAAGGACGACTTGCTACATTCCATTGAAAACATAGTGTTGTATGAACGTAACATTTCATTGTACCCAGGAAAATTTTCAGGAGAGATCATTTAGGGTGCGTTTGGATCTTAGGCAAGGGCAGCTCCTAGCGTTGCCTGGCAAGGATACTCATTTTGTTAGGATAATAAAGCTAGCATATGATGGCAATTTAGCCTTTAACCGCCAGAAAAAGCTTGCCGGCGGAGGTGAGCCAATTCGGCTCTCCCGCAGTGGCAAAAAATACGATCATGGGCTATTTGGCAGTTAGTGATTCTATTTTGCGTCTTTCCAAACACACAGTCTTGCTTTTGACGACTCTAGCCGAAGAGGGCTAGGTTAACCTGGCCAAGCTAAGCTAGGTGAGCTAGCAAACCAAACACACCCTTATGCTCAACAACCGTTCGACACTAGGATTTAGAGAGGCCACAAACATATTCAGAAACAGCTTAGAAAAAACCTAAGAAACAGGTGGCAATACAACATGCAATTTGAGGATATATTCAAGCACAATAGCCAGCACAATGCTGGATAAAGAAAATAGACATGTAATTACTATGAACCTTAAAAAACAGAACATAACTTTGGCATGTGCTTACCAAGTCGGCTCTCCTTTCATCTAGTGTTCTCTCTCTCTCCATGATATCTTAAGGTAGGCCATACAATGTTGGATTCCGGAGCATCCGGTGCTCCGGATGTAGAGGTAAGTGTATTCCAAGCCACGAGCATGCCTCCTGGGCATTCTGAATAGTTCCTAAAACAATCTCTGCATTTAACTGATCGGCCAGTTTGGATATAAACTGACTCTCAATAGGCAGCTGTTGATTCATAAGAGACAGGTAGTATTGCAATTCACTGTGGCTTGTTAAGATTATACCCTCTCCATGTGTGTCATACTGAGGCCTGCCTGCACGACCAAGCATCTGCATGACATCCAGTGGACTTAGTTCTGTCCAAGCGCCCTTTTCTGAATTGTAAATCTGGGTACCCTTTATAATAACAGTGTGCGCAGGTAGATTGACACCCCATGCGAGGGTGGCTGTCGAAATAAGGACCTGTATATGCTTATCAACAAAAAGTTTCTCAACAAGTTCACGGTCTACCCTTGCCAACCCAGCATGATGAATAGCAAACCCATATGGCAAAAGGTCTTTAAGGTCACTACTTTTGACAAGTTCTGCATGAGCACAAAGGATCTCTTGACTTGCACTGTCATCCTTCAGAAAGCGAGGCAACACGTCATTAGCCAACGCAGTGTCTCTGATGGCACGAGCAGTTTGCGCTGTCTCCTTCCTCGAGTGCACAAATATAAGCACTTGGTGCTTACCAGCAGCAGCCATAACCTTCTCATAACAAATCTCATTCATCAACTGAAACCTCTGCAGTGGCTTCTTCGCTGTGATCCCGATGTACTGTTGAGCTAGAGGGCAAGGTCGGTAACTGTTATCAAAATGGAAGAGACCGTCTGAGCGAACACGCAAGAATACCGCAATATCTTCATAATTTGGGAGAGTTGCAGAGAGGCCAACTAGGCGGATATGTTCCTTGGTCGTTTCAATCTGCCGTACTGTTCTAGAAACAATACTCTCCAGAACAGGCCCTCTGTTATCATGGAGTAGATGGATCTCATCAATGATTAGAAGCTTTACCATTTGAGTATAGATTCTATCACTTGATTTCCTTGTGACAATATCCCATTTCTCAGTTGTAGTGACAATTATCTGTGTCTCATCAATCTGTTGTTTGGTCAGGTTCTGATCTCCACTAAGCTCACTAACAGTGACATTGTACTCTTTCAGCCGCGCTGACAAATTTCCAACAACTTCAGCAACCAAAGCTTTCATCGGGGCCACATAGACAATTTTGTACTTTGTATTATCAAATTCACCATCCTTCATATGCAAACCAATCTGCTGAAGAATTGTAAGCACAGCCACATTGGTTTTCCCAGCACCCGTTGGAGCACAGAGAAGGATGTTATCTGGTTTGTAAAGGGCAGTATCATAAACCTTGCTCTGAACTCTGTTAAGTTGCGTCATCCCAGCAAAAGCTGGTCGGGCCCACTCTGGCATATCAGATATCTTCACGATCCTCTCTGCAGATTCATATGGCAGAGGTCGCAGCGCTGGCACATGGACTTCCTCATAACCCCTCTGAGGGGTTCTGAATGATCCTGGAGGAAGTTCACATTTTTTGTTGGACATCAAGAGACTGCCTTGGTGGAAAGAAAGGTTATCAAGATCAAGCAACTGCCTCTGGCCTTTCAACCATCCACTTTCGATATACCGATCAACTGCCTTACTATCTCTCGCACCATCAGTACCAGCACTGTCATTGTTGAGGAGCCTCTTAGCCTCATCCCTGATACTTCTCTCCAGATTCTTCTGCCTCTCCTTTGCAGATGCTCTCGTTGAATGTAGCTGCTCCAAAATTGGAGCTAATCTTGGGTCACTCATCATCTCTTCGGCTATCTTCTTCCGCTGTTCCTGATCTTCAGCCCTGGCTAAGAAGGTACACCAAACTATCTTGAGTCGGTTGTGAAGCAGCAATTTAATGAGATCAAAATTCTCGTGGTCCAGCAGCGTGACAAGCCGATTCTCGACATCTCTGTCATCACCCTCGGCGATCACCTTCAAGATCTCCTCGGCAAGCTTCTGGCTATGCTGGGGGTCAATATTTTCATATGCTTGTGATATCTTCCTCTGAAGCCAGTAAGCATCAATATCTTGCACGTCTAAAGTCAGACCCTTGTTGCAGCTCTGCATATCATCGTCATACAACTCACCATCCGTTTGCATAGTTCCAGGAACGTTCAACTCGACAAGGTCATCTTCATTCTCATCATCCAGCTCATCTTGCACCTGATCAAGACAAGCAAATGAAAACCCTGTAAGTTCATGTAAGATGCTTCAGTCAGGCAAACAACAAAGAAATTGTAGACAGAAGATTAAGCTAGATGTGCATACCTGATAAATGTTACTCTCCTCATCCTCATCATCTTCGAACTCAACAGTAATGCCAATATCATCATCGAGTGGCATGTCTGTGCCATCAGCAGAAGGCACACCGGCAGAATCGCCGGCCGCATCATGGAAATCCGTGATGAGCTTCCCAATGGAGACGAGCTGGCCGAACATCTGATCCGAGACAGGGTTGATGAGCTTCTGTATCACCTTCTTCTTGTCAGGGTTCCAGACCCTGTCGTCCTTGAGAGCGGCAAGCACCTCGTCCGCGGCATCCGCAAGCACGTCGAGGGGCTGCCCGCCGAGCTGCCGCTGGATGACGCTGAGCAGCGCCTCGTAGGCGGTGCGCGTCTCCCTGGTCCGGGGCATGTAGAGGGCGTCGTGGGCGAGCGAGAGCACGCTGTCCTCTGGCCGCACGGAGCCGCGGCGCATGCGCTTGGCGTCCCGGTGGGGGAGGTCGGCGGAGGCCGCGTCGCGCGCCTTCTTCCCGCGGGACCTGCCTCGCTTCTCCTCTAGCCCGGGAGGCCTGGTCCGGACGGCGCGGTCGCCGAAGCTCCTCGCGCGGATCCTGCCGCTGAGCGTCTGCGGCTCGCCGGTGGGCTCGTGGTGCGCGTCGCGGGGGCGCGAGCCGGTGTTGACGACGAGGTTGGAGTTGGCGCCGTAGTCGTACTGCCTCGAGCGCGCGCGCGCCTCGGCGCCACCGCCCGGGCTCTCCATGGCTGCAGCTCGGGTCGCGGAAGAGCGGGGAGGAATTAGTTGGCACCCGCCCAATGTGGGTCGAATCGGAGAGGCCGGGCTAGGTTTGGGAGGGAGGAGGGAGGGCTCGTTACCTTGGGTTCGGCTAGTGGAGCGCCGGCTCAGCGCCTCCCCGTCGACGGGCGGCTCCTGGAGGAGCTGCGGCGTCCGGTGTCGGCGCGTCGGGGGCGGGGAAGAGGGGTTTGGGGTTTGATCTGTGGCGACGGTGCGGGAGACTTTTTTTTTTGGGCAAAGCATAGCTTTATTACTTAACGATGCCGGGGCAAATCACCCGAGGCACATACAGCCACATGGGCTGGAACATCAGACTCAAACTCCACATAATGGTTCGTTGGGTACATACGGCCAACAATGGCCAGTTCATGTGCAACGGAGTTTGCACTCCGGCGACACACCGTAACTACAAATCTAGAGAACCACATCTTCAGTTGAAACTTGGTGTCCTCAATGATGGCTCCATACGGCGATGAATCAACCCTCCGGAGATCCAGTGCTTCAGCCAGCAGCTGTGAGTCTGTCTCAAAAATAGGTTGAACTACTCCCAGGTCCGCGGCGAGTGCAACAGCATTTGACATAGCAATCGCTTCAGCTACGAAAGGATCCCCTGCATTCTCCTGTCTGCCCGCCCGAGCAGCGACTAGAACACCTTCAGAGGTGCGAGCGACAACACCCCAACTCACATAGTTTTCACCGGGGATGAACGACCCATCCAGATTGAATTTAATCACTCCTTCGGCTGGTGGTTTCCACTTATCAGGAGAAACTGTTTTGAGACACTTCCAAGGGCTGAACACGCAAAACTGTTATTGCTGCTTTGAGACACTTCCAAGGGCTGAACACGCAAAACTTATTTCTGCTTAATAGTGCTGTTATTGCGTTGCTTCCAAAGCACCAGGGTGCTGTTAGGCCTCAAGATTTTAGGCTCATTAGCCTAATCCACTTCTTCGCAAAATTAATTGCCAAGATGATGGCTGCCAGACTACAACCATGGATGAACAAGCTAACCTCCCCATGTCAGAATGCATTCATTAAAGGGCGAAGCATACATGATAATTTTGTCTATGTTCAGGCAATGGCTAAGACCCTAAGACAGAAAAAAATCCCCTCTGTTATGCTTAAGTTGGATATAACCAAAGCCTTTGATTCAGTTTCATGGGAGTTTCTGCTTAAGCTACTGCAAGGTCTGGGTTTTGGGCCGAAGTGGAGAGGATGGATATCGGCCCTCTTTTTCTCTGCTTCCACAAGAATATTAGTCAACTCCAAATGCACTCAACAAATCCTCCATCGTAAGGGCCTCAGGCAAGGAGATCCCCTCTCCCCGCTGCTCTTTGTGCTTGTGGTGGACTGCCTTGGAAGGTTGATGGACAAAGCACAAAGAACAACATCCTATCCCCTCTGGGTAACCAACTTGTTAAACACCGTGCATCTATTTACGCAGACGATGTCATCATTTTCCTCAAGCCTGAGATGCATGATTTTGGGGTTGTAACTGAAGTGTTGAAGCTTTTTGGTGAAGCAACCGGTCTCATCACTAACCTGGCTAAAAGCAAGATCCTTCCTATTCGGTGTGACGGCCTTGACCTTACTCCCCTGCAGCTGGCTCTTGGATGCCAGTTGGCTAGCTTCCCCTGCACTTACCTTGGGATGCCTCTATCTGATAGGCGGTTGAAGCTCATTGACTTCCAAGACCTGCTTGACAAGTTAATTAAGAAGATTGCGGGTTGGAAGGCTAGGTGGATCTCCTCCACTGGAAGAATGGTACTCGTGAGGTTTGTACTTTCGGCAATGCCAATTTTCATGCTTCTGGCTGTTCATCAACCGAAATGGGTCATCAAGCAAATCGATAAGCTACGTCGTGCTTTTTTATGGTCTGGCTCTGATGCTGTCTGCGGTGGCAAGTGCCTTGCCCGCTGGACCCAGGTGTGCTCACCCATCTCTGTAGGCGGGCTTGGCATCCATGACCTTCAAGCTCAGGGGCGGGCGCTTAAAGTACGCTGGCTTTGGCAAAGCATCACAGATCCGGATAAACCATGGCAAGGTCTGCAGCCCCCTGTTGACAAGCACGTTAAGGCTCTTTTCATTGCTTGTACCTCCATCAAAATTGGTAGTGGTATTAAGATATCCTTTTGGCACGATCACTGGCTCAACGGTGAGATTCCAGCTGTTTCGTTTCCTAACCTTTTCAAGCATAGCAAAAACAGAAGAATATCGTTGGCTGAAGGACTCACCAATAGAAAATGGGTCACTCTTCTCAAGCGCAACCCGGGCACCGAGGTGTTGCGCGAATACATTGACTTCTGGCACAGATCCAGTGTGGTCACTTTCTCCAACCTGGAGGATGAGTTCATTTGGAAATGGTCAGCGGATGGAAGATATAATGCTAAGTCAGCTTACCTATGTCAATTCTGGGGCAGGATTGATTCTCCTCTTCCTGAGATCATTTGGCATATCAAGATTCCACCAAGAATAAGATTCTTCAGTTGGCTCTTTGTACAGGGCAAATGTTTGACTGCGGACAACCTTGCGAAGCGAGGTTGGCCTCACAACCCGATCTGTCAATTATGCCACTTAGGGTGGGAGGATGGTCTGCACCTTGTATCTAGCTGCCCCTTCACGGCTGGTATTTGGGGCTATTGCCTGGCGATATATAATTTTTCATTCAACCTCTTACCTATTGCTCATACTGGCTCTATATTGGACTGGTGGTTAAAGGCTCTGGATCGTACAGGCAGGAAAAAGGACCTATCATCACTTATAATGACGGTGTCCTGGCAGGTTTGGAAAGAAAGAAACAGCCGCATATTCAACAACAAGGCAAACCACTTCCTGAAGGTCGCTGAGAACATTATCAATGAGCTGAATTCTTGGAGAATCGCTGGATTCAAAGGAGCACAATGGACAGGCGCGAGATAATTTCTTTCTTTCTTTCTTTCTTTTTCTAGTGTACATTTGTATAGCTTTTCCTTCCCCTTTCTGGCCTTCACCCGTCCTGAACCTTGACCTGTATTTCTTGGGGTGTCTCATCCTATCTTAATGAATGAAATCAGCACAATGCTGTTTTTCGTCAAAAAAAAGGAGAAACTGTTTTACTCTTCGGAAGGTAGACTTGCATATATTCCAGAACGGAGCTACGTGGGGAGACTGGTGCTATAGGAGACGAGCCATGGTCGGTTGGAGGCGAAGCGCGCGAGCCATGGCGAATAAGGCCTTTACTAACTCATTGCGCGCGCAACCAGTATCGGGGCCGTCCCTGCGCCTTGTGATCCGCGCGAGCCTGGCCCACATGGCCCCACCGTGATATGGTGATTTCTGTTTTCTCGGCGAATACGAAGCGAATACATGTCCTATCGTATCTGGCTCCTATGTACGCTCCACCCTAGCCCGTACTCGCCTACTTCCCCCGTCCACTACCCCCGTGGACGTGACCAGGCTGCCCCATCCACCAAGCCGGACGCAGTTCAAATTTCGAATCTCATCAGGCTGCCCATCCACCAAGCCAGCCGCCCCTGGATCTCAGATCTCGTGAGGCCATTACGATTCAAGAATGAATCGCGGTTGCGCGTCATTCACGGATCTCCTCTTCAGGTTTCTCCTCTCACAGATCCTCTTCTTCTTGCTTCGTATTATGTAGCAAATCCTCAAATCTTCATCTTCTCCTGTTCTTGGGCAGTTTTTGTTCCCAACCGGTCGCAGCCGAGGGCGTCCCAGATCCGGCATTGCTAGAGGAAGGGGAGGGAGACGACGAGTGCGGGGGTGGAGGGGATTATGGTGTTAATGACTCTCCTTACTCAAGTTCTGCATCTCAAGTTCATGAAGCCACGGAAGATTTTCTCAATGTCCCAGATTGTGACAACACCAACAGTTACCAGGAGCCTCCATCTGAATCCCAGCGCACTCCAATGCCGTGGCCTCAAAGGTACAGCTAAATCCATCTGAATCCCAGCCATGCTAGTCATCTTCTTTCAGTAAAGTACCTAGCCTGATGAAGCATTGAGGATTCTGGACAGCGTTTTTTATTTCAGTAAAATTGTTGCCTTGATGAAAAATCAAGTAGACGTAAAATAATTTCCAAAACCAGCATGGTGGGAGCATCACGGGTTCAGTCTCTATCATGGACATTCACATGATAAAGGAGAAAGAGCTTTACCGGGTTCTGCTGTTTGCTGTCAAAAGCTTGTCTATCTTGGTCCCAGTCGATGATCCAAATTCTGTTTTGTGTTAAGGACTCATAAACTCGTCTATTGGTTTCAGTACATTTAATAGTCAGAATTTGCCCGCTTTTTTGCTGGTTGTTATACTGTCAAACATGCAGGATACACAGTTCATTATTTTGGAGCAAGTTGGTTATTACATATTAGTCAGATTCTATTTTCATTCCAAGTGTGGTTAACATCTCAATCATATGTAGGATCCGTCTTGGTAAGATACCTGACCGCCGCGCCTCATTGTCGGGAAGGAAAAGTGCTTTGGAGAAGGCCATGAGAAACTTTGCAGATAAGAAGTCAGGTATCGTTGTCAAGCCGGAGATCAGTCAGGAATTTGACTCTCTCGACGAAGCGTACGACTTCTACAACCTATACTCTTGGGAGACTGGTTTTGGCATCAAGTATGGGCAATGCAGAAGAAATGTTGACAAGTGCAAGATTGTCCAGGACATAGTATGTGGATGCGCGGTGAGTTATATCACACACTTTGCCCACATGTGCACTTGCATTAATAGTCAGTGTATAATGACTGATCTTCTCGTTCGAAAACTCCACATTTACGACTGACTGCTTTTGTTCACCACCACTTTATCAGGGGAAACCACGTAGGGAGAATTCACATTCAGTATGCTGCCAATGTCCTGCACTTATAAGGTTGCATCGCACATCAGACCATGGCTGGTTCATCCATGACATGAAGTATCAGGGGAAACCACGTAGGGAGAATTCACATTCAGTATGCTGCCAATGTCCTGCACTTATGAGGTTGCATCGCACATCAGACCATGGCTGGTTCATCCATGACATGAAGTATGAGGTTGCAGCCGGCATCGTCTATGAACAACTTTGTTAGGCAGTACCAGAAAATATTGTTCGACCGCCAATCAGAGGAAGATTTTCAAGAGAAGAAGACTCGTGTGGTAAGCCATAGGAAAAACATCATACATAGCATTGTTTTTAACCTTGAACTGCATATGTAGAAATTTTCATATGAAATTGATGGGCCACCGGTGTTTTCAGGGTGGATTTGTTTTTAACCTTGGAGTGCCACTAGAATACCATGCGAGCAAGGTCTATACCGCAGCTATGTATGAGCTGTTTCAATACGCAATTTACTTGTCAGGGTCATATGTGTTACAAGAGGCATGTCGGACAGAGCTAGGTGTGGTGTACGTCGTTAACCACATCTATGCAGAGAGGAGGCAAGCTTGGTCCAGGACACAATATCATGTTCTGTTTGATCAGGAATCTGGAGGATATTTATGTGAGTGTGGTCTTTACTCACACATGGGCATGTTGTGTTGCCATGCTATCCGGGTAGGTCAAAATGAGTCATTTTATCATTCATTGTATCTGAGTTAGAGCTTACTTGCGATGCTATAAGATTCTAGTAGCTGGGTTCAAGTTCAGTACACTAAATATCAGAACGTAGGATAGCATGGGCTGTTACAAAAATTGTATAACCTCCTTTAAATTCAGTACACTTACACTCATGTTTTTACTCTGCAAGCACAGATTAAAATGTGATCCATATCTAGTGTGTTTATTTGACCACACATCTATTTTTCTTTCCGTAACAGGTCATGCTAAATCTGGGAGTTAGGGAGATCCCTCATGTACACATCATGAAGAGATGGACAAAGAACGCTTGTGAGAACCTGCCAGAGCATCTGAAGATATATCAAGCAGGCAATTCTGCACTGAAGGACGCAACTTACCGACACTCCAGCTTGTACAGTAAGGCGCTCGAGATTGTACAGATGGGGGATAAGAACACCGAAGCTTATGGAGCTGCAATGAAGCAGTTACTAGATGCAATAAGTGTTCTAAACGATACCAACCAGGAGAGTGATGGGCTAGGATTACATGATCAGGCAGCGGCTCCAGTCCATGACCAAGATACGCCTATTACACCAGGAGCAAACAAACTGTCAGGATCGATGAATGTTGTATCATGCAAGAGGGATCGAGGCAGGCCAACAAATGCAAGAGCAAAGCCAGGTTATGAAAATGTCAGTAAACCAAGAACAAAGTTTTGCTCTATTTGTAGAGGGAGGGGTCATAAAGCATCTAAATGCCCCTCATATGGAGGCGCAACAAAGAAGCAAAGGAAAGTCCCGAAATGTACCAAGTGCGGCCTGGAAGGCCATAAGAGGAACAACTGCTCTGGAAGTTTGTTCGGCGTCTTCCAATGAGAATATCATGTTGGAGATAGCACTGCCCACGGAATTTGTGATATGCCTGGCTTGTGCTTTTTTTTTGCTAGCAAAGGTCTCGTTGTGCTGTTGACAAATATGAAAATTCATATTTCCATGGAACAATCAGGTTTTTTTGTGGCCAAGTAGTGAACATGTTTAATTCAAGACATGTAAACTTGGCAATGTTACAGGGATGTGTAAAGTCTGCCATTGTACTGATGTGAGTACAAAGTGCAACTAAAAATATGAATTGGATGTTCGTTTATGACAAAAATTCATATGATTTTTATTCCATCTTTCATATGTTGCTCCCACAACATGTTTGGAGACACAATATCCTTGATCTGCCACATGAAATGGGTTGAGACTTGAGAAAACTGAAACATATAGAACACAGTGCACCCCAAATAGACACATTTTGCTTAACATAAACATCATTCTTCAGATTACACAAAAGGAATTGGTAGCGGATAGCACAATATTAATTAAATTGTTCACGAACAGCACATCAGCTCGAGCAGGGCAACAACAACTGATAAATACTAAGCTGCAAGCTTGCTAGCTAGAAACAGGAGGAACACTAACAAAATCACACTAAAAAGCATCCGCTTCTGCTGTCCATTTGCCTTTTCCTTGAGAAGGGCTTCAGTCTGACCCAACTTTTCTTCGAGAGCCTTATTTCGTTCCTTCGTCTTGCGCAATGCATCCCGCAAAGAAATATGAGTGGAGCTTCGTTCCTCAATCCCCATTTCAAGGTCCGCGTTGACTCAATTGAGCCGAGCGTTCTCCCTCCGCAGGTTGTGCACCGTGTCACGCAAATCGACCAAAAGTTGGCGAAGGAATGGTGTAGTAGGGTCATCAAACCACTCAAACCACTTGCAACCTCCGTCCTGGGGAAAGAAAGTTTGCCAACTATATGAGGGAGAGATAGATTCAGCAAGAAACAAGAACAAGATAGATGCAAACAAATGCTTACACGAGATTTTTGGCAGTTCAGAAACCTGCGACCAGGGTTAGCGTTGGTCCAAGAGATTCTCCTCGCCCCTTTCTCTTCGCACCAGCAATTCGAAGCTGGCTCATATGCTAGCGCGTGCTCACGGTAAGGAATCGGAGATGGGTTGGGATAGTAGCCAACATCTCCAGCATTGGAGGACGAGCGCGCTCCTGATGATAACGAAGAGGACGCCATCTGGGATACAACAAGCCTGCAGCCCAACCAAAGATTCAGATCAGAGATAGGGTTAGGGTTGGGGAGGACGAGGGGATCTTGTGGCTACGGCTTCAGGTGGTGGGAGAGGGTGAGGTGGTTTGGTGGGGGGAGGGGGGAGGGGGAGACTGGTACTGCTAGATACCACAGTATGAGACGGGTATGTAATGTTCTTTGGCAAAAAAAAATGCGGGAGATAATCTATCTTGGCGTGACAACCCCTGGTTAGTGTTCCTCCTGTTTCTAGCTACTGGGCAGCCCAACCAAAGACCGCGCAACGACTGTGACGGTTAGAGCGTCTCTAGTGGTCTGTCTAAATTTGATACTCTATATCTACATATACAAAATGATGTAAAAAGATTTTCTTTTAGACAACCTAAGTTCTCCAGCGGATTGTCTATATACATGATGTCTATATTCTCTTTCATATATATTAATAGTATCTTTTAGCATCTATATTTTCTAAAAATCTTATGTTGGTCATTTCTGAGTTGTTCTCATTTATTTTTTTCATCCGCAAGACATATAAAGGAGAAAATAAACCAGCCGCGAAATTATTTTAGGTTCAACACTAGCAACACCCTATATAATTTACGAGAAATAAACAATAGCAACAGGTTCAACCCTGATGAGGCGGCGGTCCAGGCGCAACAGTCTCCGTGTCCAACGCCGGCGCGGCCGCCTCCCTGCCGACGTCCTCCAATTGCTCCGAATTGGTGAATGGCTTAGCTCATGAGCCAACATTTTTGGTTTAGACATTGTGGGTTGGTTGTCTAAATGTGAACGTCGGGTAGTTAGTTTGGACATTGTCTAAATTTTAGACGACGCAATAGACAAGCCACTGAAAACATTTTTTACCATTTGCACAAGCCACTAGAGATGCTCTTAGGTCGTGATTTTTGAGATGATGGCGCTCAGATGATTGCTTGTGTGTGATATATATAGCGGAGGTACGACAGTTCCGGGCGCAGGTGCGTTGGCCATTATAGCATCTGGTCCTAACCGATGGCCCGAATTTTGACGCCGTGTGACAGACGCGATAACAAACCGACATAGCGACGTGGTCGGAGCAAATGGAAGGAGTAAATAGTTCATAGCCAAATTCGCCATGGTCGCAATACGGCGGCGGCGTCCCTATACAGTAATGATTTTTCTCACACTCCCATTCCCATCTCGTGCGTTCGGTATCGGACGGAGGACTCGTGCAGTAATGTATAGGCATGGTCATACAATGCCGTCCCAAGGAGATAGACGTCTCCAATATAGTAATGCTTCTACACCAACAGTTACAAGGAGCCTCCATTAGTGCCGTGATAACCCCTGGTTACAAGTCATACAAGTCATATAAGACATATTGTGTCGCTTACCAAAGACCGCGCAACAACTGTGACGGTTAGGTCGCGATTTTTGAGATGATGGCGCCCAGTTGATTTTTTGATTGTGATATATATAGTGGAGGGACGACAACTCCGGTGCAGGTGCGTTGGCCATTATAGCATCTAGTCCTAGCCAATGGCCTGAATCTTGGCACCGTGTGACAGACGCGATAACAAACCGACATAGCGTCGTGGTCGGGGCAAATGGAAGGAGTTCATAGTTCATGGCCAAATTCGCCGGCACTATACAGTAATGATTTTTCTCACACTCACATTCCCATCTCGTGCGTTCAGTATCGGACGGAGGACTCGTGCAGTAATGTATAGGCATGGTCATACAATGTCGTTCAGTATCGATGGTGCTCCTTTGTCTAGTGATGAAAGGATCTTATCTCATGTTTTACTAGTGCATATTTATTCCGAGATAGACGTCTCCAATACGCTACTTACGTTTGACTAGTGCTTTTTTGATCCGAGATGAAGGACTTTATCAAGAGATGATACCGCTCGACCATGCCACGGTATTTAAGCACATCCGGAGATTATATGATTCGAGACGAAGTACTTTAGTGAGTAGTTTGATAAAGTGCACATAATTTCTTTTTAATAAAGTCGTTCATCTTGAGCACAAAAGGACCCATAAAACTACCCTATTACCCATCAGACTTTATCAAGAAGTGGAAATGATCGACCACGCTATGATACTTAAGCATATCTGGAGCTCATATGAGTCGGGATGAAGGACTTCATCAAATAGTTGGAGTGAATGCCCACGAACATTATTCATGTGGTTCGAGATGAAGAACTCATATGGCTCAAGACGAAGGACTTTAGAAAAAGAGTTAACATTGTTCCTGCATACCCGGTGTGTTCGTGTACAAATATGAAGGACTTTACATAATTCATTGGGCGACTACACAAGGATAGTTTCACGCATGACAAACTTTAATATAGGATGCCCGATGCTTTCTTGTTCAAACACGAAGGACTTTACTGTAACCACCGGGCGATTGCACAAAGATAGTCCCCTTTTGATGAACTTTAATCCCGCATACCCGGTGCGTTTGTGTACAAACATGAAGGTCTTCAGATAATTCATTGGGCGACTGCACAAGGATAGTTTCCCGCATGACAAACTTTAATATAGGATGCCCGGTGCTTTCATGTTCAAACACAAAGGACTATACTGAAAGCACCGGGCGATTGCACAAAGATAGTCCCTCGCTTGATGAACTTTAATCACGCATACCTGGTGTGTTCGTGTACAAACATGAAGGACTTTAGATAATTCATTGGGCGACTGCACAAGGATAGTTTCTCGCATGACAAACTTTAATATAGGATGCCCGGTGCTTTCGTGTTCAAACACGAAGGACTTTACTGAAAGCACCGAGTGATTGCACAAAGATAGTCCCCCACTTAATGAACTTTAATCCTACATACCCGGTGTGTTCGTGTACAAACATGAATGACTTCACATAATTCACTGGGCGACTGCACAAGGATAGTTTCCCACATGACACTTTAATATAGAATGCCCGGTGCTTTCGTGTTCAAACATGAAGGACTTTATTGAAAGCACCGGGCGATTGCACAAAGATAGTCCCCGCTTGATGAACTTTAATCTCGCATACCCGGTGCGTTCGTGTACAAACATAAAGGATTTTAGATGATTTATTGGGCGACTGCACAAGGATAGTTTCCCGCATGACATACTTTAATATAGGATGCCTGGTGCTTTCGTGTTCAAACACGAAGGACTTTAGTGAAAGCACCGGGCGATTGCACAAAGATAGTCCCCGCTTGATGAACTTTAATCCCGCATACCCGATGCGTTCGTGTACAAACATGAAGGACTTTAGATAATTCATTGGGTGGCTGCACAAGGATAGTTTTTCGCATGACAAACTTTAATATAGGATGCCCGGTGCTTTCGTGTTCAAATATGAAGGACTTTACTAAAAGAACCAGACGATTGCACAAAGATAGTCCTATTGGATTATGGATGGGCTTAGGCCCATATAAGACACTAATCCCTGGTTAATCTTGAGGCCCATGTATGAGATGGCATGTGGTGGGAAGTTTAGTCCCACCTTGCTAGTTGAGGAGAGTTGAGACCCCTTTATAAGGGCTGCTCTACCACTTGCCATTGGGAGCTTGGGAAGAGGAGTGGTACACGCGCGCTCCTCCTCCTCCGCCGTCCGTCTCGCCACGCCTCGTCACGACGTGCGCGCCACGGGTTGCGGATTGCGGGAATGAGCCGAGCCGAAGCTTATTTTTGCCGCTCAGGAATGAATTAATTAATCAGGGATTAATTAACGAGTCGCTAACATGTGGGCCATTGTCCAAGACGTTGGACTGTGGGCTCACTTGCGTTGCCGGGATTCGTCGACCCCTTGCCGGGACCCTTGTTGCCGTGATTCGTCGACCCCTTGCCGGGGTGCGACGCTTGCTGGGAACAACGACTCCCTTGCCGGGAGTGGGCCGACTCAGTCGTGGGCCCCCGCAAGGCCCACGACTTTCTTTCTTACGGACTATATAAGAAGGCTCTGGCCAGTGAAGTAACCTAGTTCGGTTCAGGGGCGAGCCCACGTTGTGCCAGAAGGTAGCACAGGACACCGGGTAAAAAAATGTCTTACATTATACCTATAGAGCCCATGTACCCTGGGACACCCCTAATTTTTCTAGAGGGACACCCGTACAACTCCACCCAGCACAACTCAAGTGCAGCCCAGCGCGTGACGAAGGCCCAGTTCAACCTGTCTAATGCGCGCAGTAGATCGATCGATCAATAGATCCATACGTGATTTCCTATTCGTCTGCTACATGCTGCTCTCTGGGCCCTTGACCTTTGGCTTTCGTCCGTATCCCCCCGTACGCCGTACTCGCCGCCTATCGCCATATCACGGCGAGTCGTCGAATCAGCGGAGAAAAGAAGGAACAGGTATGCTGCATCAGTCCCCAAACCCAATGAGGTCTGCCTCAGCCTCTATTGCATATCCGGTTCTAATTATTGCTTTTTTCTCTAACCCTAGGGAATTAGGGCTACTGAATAAGACTAAAGATTTTGATTGTATTGGGTAATTGGACTATTTTAAATAATTTCGCACCGAGTGGAGACCAATATTGCAACACTCTAGGACGGCAGCACAATATCAAATAATTTTTATGTTACAACCGTGCAATTGCAATTCAAGTATTCTGTGTGTACACATGATTCATAGTTCTTTTCTTCCTTGCAAATTTTAATTATTTGAATAAATTACAAATTTCAGGCGAAGCTCGGTTTATTGAAAGGTTTCTAAAAAAGAGGAGAACCTCAGTGCAAGATGAAAATGTTGGTCTGTCACACGAACATAATCAGAATGATGTCTCTTTCTCGCCACCATCAGATGGACAAAGTAATGCCTCACCGCACGAACGGGATTAATGTCCCACCCCGCCATCACCACATGGACAAAATAATGCCTCCAGATATGGAGTTCTGCCAATAATACAAGGAATTCATTTCAAGCTGAAGAAGAGATCAATTGGAAAGGAAAAAAATTGATCGAGGTAAAAGGAGAAGCATTGATGAGTACCATCCAAATCAACAAGATTTGGTAA